CGGGCGCGAGGACTTTTGGGAGACATAACAGTTTCCAAACGCCAGTTGAATGGATCAAAGTTGTCGTTTCGCGACATGATTTCAAGTACTTCCTTTCGAATTGTTTCGCAAAATAACGTAACAGGAAGATCGTTGGCGTCTCTTCCGAATGGGTTTTCGATCTCGGCTGTGGATAATGATTAAGTTTTCCAAATGATTTGCAAACTTTGAAAGAAGATACCGGAAATAAATTCAATTCCGAGAAGAGCAAAAGTCGTAAACATAACCACAGGAATCGTCGCCCAGATCAAATCTTTCGCAACTGAAAATAACATCGGTTTCCGTCAGATACTATAGGGTACGGCAGAGACAATCTATAAACTTACGTTGAAACGGAAGCGCCAATAAGTAAAGCAAAAGAATTTGTTTCATGTGAACGCTGTAGGCCTTTGGAATCGGAGAGGATCGGATTCTTTCCAATGACGTGACGGAGTCTGTCAGGTTTCCAAGCGCAGCGACACAGTTGCTTTGTACAATAGCATCGCACTTATCATCTACAAATAAGATGTATTAATCAAACTTGTAGAATTGGTCTTGAAAACGACTCACTTTCACGACACTTTCCAACATAAGCAGAAATGAATAATAAGATTCTAGTTGGCGCATGCACCGGAGCGACCTCGTATTCGCATTTAGAAAGTATTTCTGGAATGTGCGATACGGCAGCGTTCAGGTCAGCAGGAGTAAATCCATCTGCTCCTCGAAGATCTTTAAACCATTTCAATCAGCATTTCAAATATCTAAAATATTACAAAGATATCAAAAGTACCATGTTTCACGGACAACGCGAACGCATAAATCAAGTCCATTACTCCTCTCTTTAGTTCCATTTCTTGTGGTGTTGGCGCTTTAAAATGTACCCACACCAATCGAGCCAAGTTTCGAAGATCCTTTTGCATAGCTGAAAATAACAAAAGCTAAATATTTGGATGTAAACGCATTTAAGGTAAATCCGTAAACCTGCCCAGAGCCGACGACCTTCCCAGTATCTGTAGGCAAAGTTAGTTTACTTAAATGCGCAACAGCAAATTCAAAAAATAAAATACCTATCATAAGCTGTGTTGTTTCTAAAAACTAAAAGCAAACCAAGAACGACGTTCAACAAAGTAATCAGAGTTCCAGGTATCGTGAATGTTGTCACTCCAGCAACTCTCATCATAATAATCCAAAAAGCAGCCCAAAATCCAGTGAGCAAAGTCGGGACGAATACCAGCGACATGATGGAACCCTTGATTTGAAACAAGTCTGAATAGTGCGACTAAAAAATTATTGGAATCGTTTATTGTCTCTTCTCACAATCGTAAACTTGGACATACCTGAATCTTATTTGAGCTTTTCGTTAGTGGACGTTCAAATTCGCGGTCAATTGAGTGCCTGGTCATGGAGTGGACATCCCAATTGTTCCGTCTCACGCGCAAATTGTTGGATAAGTTGGAGAAGGAAATGTTGCTCGTTCTGGGCTCTTCTGCGGACTTGGGTTTTTGGGTAGCTGTTTTATCTAATAATTTATCGTTTCCGCTTTCTAAAATCGTAATGGACGGAATCTTGGACATTTTCGATTAAAACTTTTTTTGGTTGGGTGATACAAAAAGTGCTTGGTTCGCTGATTGTCCGCAAAACTGAATTTTATTTCTTAAAAATATAATTGTAAATTAAATTTGTAATTAAGTCCACGCATAGGATTTGAACCTATATATTTTTCTTGGCATGAAAATGCTCTTCCAATTGAGCTAACGTGGAGTTTTATGCATGAAGAAAACAAAATGACAGCATATGAAACCATGAAGATAAAGTTTAGATCCCGAGCAGTTGAGATCTACGGCAACGGATGCGGTCTAGATGAAACCACAAACTACACCTTTCAACTCTGGGCATGATACGAATTCACAATCGAATCTACAAGAAATTGTTTAGTCAAGTCCACACCCGGGATTTGAACCCGGTTTTTTTACTTAGCAGGCAAATGCTCTTCCAGAATCGAGCTCATGTGTATTTTTCGTACTTTTCCAATGACATGAACACAAAGATGTCATTAATTCCACGCAAATTTTACTTTTTTTTTTATTCCTTGGCGTTGTTGCAATTCGCACAATATTCAATCCAGCAATCTACAGACACAGAGACACCAACTGATGATTTAAATATTGTTTTCCCACAACAATATCGATCGTTCCCGACTCGACAACAAAATCTGCACCTTTCACAACGCCGTCGAAAAAGATATCACCATTAAACCCTTCTAATACGACAACGCAAGCAAATTATAACGGATTAATTCAGCCGTCTCCGAAAATTTTCGGAATAGGATGGGCGTTATTTTTGTGCTTATTTTTTGGATCGATTGGGTTGCTTGCGTGTCTTGCGTACAGTCAAGATGATATGGGAGGGTAAATATCGCGAGAGCTTGTAGGGATAATGTGGGGACTATGTCTCTAACAATTGTTTTTTTTTGGAATTGTTGCGGGAACTATAGCTGCAATGACTTTATTAGTGGGGATCTTGTTTGCAATCCCAGTTGGCACTACAGTGGAAACCCCAACTCTGCTAAGTTTCTCAAGAATTAAAATAAAGACCATTTCAAAAATCGAAAAAATATTAAGCTCGATTGGTCGTATCACCCACGCATTGCCTTTGCAGTGTTTTCGACGGTATTAGGATTCGGATCAATATCATTTGCATTTATTACGTATCTATTTACTCCGGTCTACGCAATCAAACCGGATGAAGAATGACATCTTTCATAATATCACTGCCAGTTAAAATCGATTTCTCCTGTATTTTTAAATTACTTTTTTCATATGAAAGAGATTGCAGGGCTACTGCAGGGGCTTTATGAATCAGAAAAGTCTTTCTGGTGCGAAAATTTTGTGGCACAGTAACTTGGTCCTTTCAACATAAAATCAATCATTAGCCCCACACTGTAGCTAGTCCGCTTAAACGTATAGTTTTAAGGAAAATGCTGAAGAAAATATCAATCACTCCTGGCATTTTATTCGGCTATAAAGCGCTACCATCCCCTTCAATCAACGACATCCCTACTCCCAAATGCCTTGAAGATTGGTCCGCGATTTATCCTCAACTAACTCTAGAACAATCTCTCGCTTATCTTCCTAACCAGTGGGATAGAGATCACGACGAAGCGCATATCGTTGCACTTTACACGAAAGAAGACGTTGAAGTAATTGTTTACAAAGATTTTGCATTCCAGGAACCAACTATCAGCGCGTTGGAGAAAGCGAATTTAGTGCGGAGTGCTATTAAAGAATCGCTGATGATAACAATTGACGGAATGCTTATGTCCGAATTGGGGAAGCGAAAGTATTGTTTGTGTGCTTTGGACGCTGATACATTCGAATTGATTGTTCCTCATGAATTATTTACGGAGGAATACTTTGAAGTGCGGCCTGTTATCAAGGCTTGGCAGCGACGATTTGAAACTTTCCGTGTAGAGAGCCGCGTGAAGTTCTCATCTTCAGATCGAATGCTGATAAACTCTCCAAGTGCACTCTCAAATCAATTAAAGAAAAGCGAGGGAATCGACGACTGTGTTGAAATGATGCAGTTGATGAATTTGAAATAATAAAATTGCTCGTGCAATGTGTTTTCCAACACGCAGAGACGTTTTTATTACATCAAATCTCCAACCCACCCAACGGAATCGGCCCAATCCACTCCAACTTTCTCTCCGTTTCCTCACACCTCTTATCCAAAATAACTTCAACCTTTTCTTTCAACCCCATTTTCCCCCGTCCAAATCCACCTTCAATAGTTATCGTTTGCACTTTGGGTTTGCCGCTGAAAATCAAATCAGCGTCGTACCCGCCCCAATGCAAAAGCATATACTGCAGAACTTCCTTTTTTGTCGTTGGTGGGACTGATACTCGACCTCTTCTTGCTCGTCCAACTACTACTCGGTAAACGTCTAGTTCGGTTGGAAGTTTTGAGAGTGTTCGATGCGGGTAGTCGAAATGATCAAGATCTCGATTTATCGTTAATAATGGTCGCCTGAATAATGCGCAAGTGACCAATTAAAGTAAATAAGAAACTGTATTTAAAGGACATACGATTTAGCAAAAGGGCTGGCAATTCGCGGGCGGAAGTAAAACTCTCGAATCTGAGAAACTGACAAATTGCTCATATCTTCCCACTTTAGTCCCCAATTGAGTTCGTGTCGTTTCTTCTTTTGCACCAAGACCGCGCTTACACCTTCAGCAAATTCACTTTTTTCCTAAAATATTAAAAATGAAGTAAATCCAAAAATCCCGGTTCAACCATCAATCAACAAACCAAAAACGTCTGAGCAAGATGATAATCTTGTTGAAGACATTCCACGAAACTCTTTTTACGTCCCTGTCTCAATGCCTCTAAAGCAACCTGTGTTTCGTTCATGTTAACGAGAGCTAAATATTCGTTTTATGCACCAAACCTTCATACTGATTATCGATCGCTCCTTCATTAGCTTCAAAGTATCATCTGCCCATTTTCGTACCTTCTCATTTACTCCATCCTTAATATGTCTTTCCAATTCAGCAACAATCTCTTCCAGTGTGTTATATTGGAAACATCTACATTTCTTTATTTTAAATCATTGTGGTTTTCGTGTGTTTTCAAACACTTACTGATTTAGCGCCTCCATCACCATTCCTCCTAACGACCAGCTTTCAAAGTCGGATTTTTTTACAGTGACTACAAAAGAGCTGTTACTGAGAAATCAGGGTTTAAAATCGGACAATTTATCTGTACCTGCAAACTCTTCGATGGCACTGTTAACGACCTCCATATCGGCAGATTCTAGATCCGCTAGTCGATTTACTAAATCAGGAATCTGTGCCGAATTTATAAAATGCGATGCGATGCCCGAAATACTGTTAAAATGCACAAATTCACAACACGATTCAATAATTAAACGAATCAAACGTACAAAACATCTTTTCCCTTGATTGTTTCACCCGTAACTCCCAAATAAGTACCTAATTCGCCGTCAAGTTTTGGAAGGAAGTACGAAGCTCCAACATCCGGAAAGTATCCGATTCCAGATTCTGGCATGGCGAAAACAGTTTTTTCAGTAGCAATGCAAAATGGAGCATGAACCGATATTCCAGCACCACCTCCCACTTAAACATCTTATGTTAACTCGAAAATCGTGTAATGAGATCAAATTCGGATAATTTACTTGTGATTCCGTTAATGATTGCAACTAAAGGCTTATTCAATGTTCCAATTAAGTGATTAAGCTTATATTCTTCCTCGAAAAACTTTAACGCTGCAGGGGTATCAGTTCTTGCTAAAGAAACGACCTCTAAAAACGAGCATCAGAAAAATAGACCTTTTTCAAAAACGTCATAAAGAAAAAAAGCAACCTTCAACATCTCCTCCAGCGCAATATGCTCGACTCCCTTCAGGAGCCATTAATATGATAACCTTACTCAAATCAGAATCCTCCCATGCCTTTTTGTTCAAACATGAGTCAGAATTAACACAACAAAGATTGATCTCGGGAGATTATATTACCTCTAGTTGAGGATACATTTGGTTAATCATGTTTAGATTCAAAGCGTTCAGTTTCGCCAGTCGATTTAAAATAAACAACCGTGCTGATCGAAGTTTTCTGTTGTATATTTGGACATCTGCGGCTGGAGGTGAGATAGGAGTTGAAGACATCTACTAAAAGCAATTAGGGAGATGTAAAATTCGACTAAATTTGGGTTTTTTACGTTGCGAATTTGTGAAGTGATTTGGTTAATTTGCGCGGTTGGAGACATAAACTTGATGGGGATATTAGAGGTTTGTAACGAGGAGAGATTTCGATGAAAAACAAAACCGCCACGGGAACGAAGTGAATTTTTCAAAGAAGGAATTGAAGAAAGAATTGTTTTGTTCGATTTCCAGAAATTTGAAGCCATTCCCAAATACTGACAAACCGTCAATCTCTGATTTTTTTTTCTTTTCTTTTTCAATTCATTATTTATTTTAAAATCGTGAGAAATCTCGAATTATTTAATACGTCCACTTTCGATGGAATCCCCAAGATTGCAAACTTGAGTTTTTTTGGGAAGACGACATTTTGAAATTTTGAACCACACATACACAGAGTCGCATTTCAGTGTTTTATAACTCCGTCACTTTTGATGCGCTAGTGTAAATGTAAAAGAGACTTTTGGGCGGGTTGAAAGCCTGTTTTGCCGAATTATAGGGCAAATTGGTACGCTTAGCTTCATACAGATATTAAACTAATAAACACTATTGATTTACATAATTAATTATTCTCGTTCGAATTGCATTTTATTCGGAGTTGTATTTTCATTCCAAAGCGAATTTTCCAATAGAATTCTGAAACAAACTAACGAATCGCTGGTAAGCATTTGTACACACACAGTTTCCAGACCGAAGATCGAATTGTTTTGCCCAACTCTCGAATGATCAGAGTGAGAGGACCGCTTTGTTCGCCGTCTTTTCCTTGTATGACTTGGGTCGCAAAAAAGTGTTGAATCTGGTGTGAAAATGCACCAAGCGGCAACAAAGTCTAAAGAATCGATGTTTTTCAGTTCTTTACTTTATACCGAAACAAACCCATATTCTTGTTTATTCTCTTCCGGCCGCAATTCCCATAAATTCACCTTTTTCTCCCCCTGTCTCCCAACTATGGTCTTCTATATGTTTTTGCTTCTAGTTTTACCTGTTCGATCTAGCCCTATTCCACAGCAACAAGATAGTGTGCTCGCGAATAAAGCAGAGAGCACCAAAGGTCCAGTTGGTGCCGCTTCCGTTCAGCTTCGCGATGGTAGCTCGTTGTTTTTTGGAGGACGGACACTTTCGTCCTCTAATTCGCAAGAACTCGTTAACGTCGTTTACCATCTAAATAGCACTTCACTGCAAGTGAGCGCACTGAACGTTACTGGAACGAAAGATACCTCAATTCCTCCCCCGAGTTACAGACACTGTTGCGCTACCGATACCACAAAGAATGATAACGTGATGTACTGTTTTGGCGGT